CAATGAATTTAGAAATCTCTTGTCAGAAAATTCTAGGATACAAATTTCAATTTAAAAAAAAGAAGTCTTCTTTGACTTTTAACATAAATATTTAAAACATTCAAAAATATATCATTTACAAAATCTACGTTCATGACACACATTTAGCTAATTTTATTAATATTAAAAAAAAATACGAGATAGAAAATATATATTGCATATCAATCTCTCTTACTGTCATCGCCATTTAGTTTACGATACGATGTCAAGAGCTGAAAGCGTAGAAAGCCAAGTCATTGATTTTTTACCTAATCACGGCGGAGGAGAGCTAGACTAGACATCGCATAAGTAGCTATCCAGGTGAGATCAACTATTTTATCATTCCTCGCGAAAGCAGCCGAATGTTGCGTTCTGTTCGGGGAACATTCGGTGCTTCTCTTCTCTGTCAACGTTGCTATAGTTCTCTGGTATTTATTGGTGGTTCCTCTCGATACACATATATGTATTTTATACACAGAGAGAATTTCTCTTAGAATTTAAGCACATAGTAAAATTAATCGGACATATTTTATATCTTAAATTATTGTCGTGAATATTAATATTTTTTATTGTGTGGTAAATATCAGAGAAACTCTTATAAAATTCTTTTAATATTACTATATTGCCCCACGATTTTCAGGGTAAATTCTAAGAGAAAATTCTCTCCGTGTATCTTTGCCATTTCCAATAAGTGAAAGATAAGGCTTTTCTCTTTCCCACCCGGTATATACTCAGATGTCCCTTTACTTTTTTTATGTTCATTTAACTTGTCCGAGCTACCCTTTCCGTCTCGCTCTCTTCGGAGCGGCTCTCTCGAGAGCGAAAGATTTTACGAGCTCCTTCTGGGATAACCGACTAACAATCTCTGTTGTCCTCCAGAAGGATTCGTGAAAGCTTCGCCGTACATGCATGTACTTCTTGGCATCACGAAACGAGTTCGGCCACGAGTTGCATCGGCACGCGTGCGGCTCGCACGTGGCATTCCGATCGCGTCTCGAGATGCTTCGATCTAAACTTGGCGATACATATGTATATCTTTTATGAGAGAGACGCACCATCTGTTTTCCGCTTGCGATTTCTCGCTTACTATTGCAGTATATTTTTTTAACTGTTTTATATTGCAATTTATAGGACTTCTACATCGTATCTTATTATTATCATCTATTTCAAGCAAAGCAAGCAATTCGTGGAAAACATAATCTCAGAAAGAATATAAAGAAAAAATATATAATTTATTATTCAGTATTCATATATTTCACGCATCAGACATCCATAATTTGAATTGTATATTAATCCTAGAATATAATCAATTCTTTTGCGTGAGAAATTAAAATAATGAAAGTTACATGAGAAACTTGTCAACGAAATTTCAGGAAACCGTACTCTTCTGCATTCTCGCTTTATCTTATCGGATACCGAAAGGTCGGAAAAAATTTGTATACATCACAAGCATTCAACATTTATATCTTTCCTCTCTGTCTCCTTCTCCGATGCCACCTGCATCGAACCATCTCTATTCGCGTCGCACGTGCATAAAAGCGCGGCTCTTCGCGTTCTCTCCTCTCCTCTCTCACAATCAATGCGCGATGCCTCACTCAAGAAGGAAAACCACTACTACAGCCTCCTTCTCTCCCACCTTCACCACCCACCACCACCACCACCGACATTAGCAACCACCACTACTATTACTACTACTACTACTACTACCATCGTCACTCTTTCCACCATCCCTCCCTCTTCTCTCATTCTCTCGGCGACCGACCGCGCGCGCGATCTTCGTTAATCGCGGTGGTGGAAATCGCAACGGAACTCCTCAGTGCAGCTGCGGCGAGCAGCTGACGCGGAATCATTCAGATCCGCAGTAGAGCTCGTGCCGCGTACGCGACAGGTCGAGACGAGTCGAGACGAGACGAGACGAGACACGCAGTGCCTTGTACTCCCGTTGCATTATCAGTGTGTGCTGGACCAGTCTCGCCGAGATTCGCGCTCTCGCGCGTGTGTGCCTCCGTATCTCGTCGCCGCAAATGAACTCGCGTCGCGAGTCTTACGCGCGCGAGAAAAACCGATTGTGGCCGCGCAATCTCATTGTCAATCAGTGCGGTGCGTCGTCAACGTCAGCGTCAACCTCGTCACGTGGACTCGCGGCGAGGCGCCTCGCTGCTGGCTGCTGAGAAAGGAGTCTGGAAGAGGCCGACGAAGGAATTATACTCGCAGGTGAGTGCGAAAGAGATCCGTGCATGTTTGGCTGCGGGGTATCTAAAAGTCTCACGGGATCCTCGAGAATGTCTCGAGGCGCAATATATAGTTTGTTTGACGGACGAATCGTCGAAGAGATTATGTATTCCGAGAGAAATCTCGTAAAAAATTACGGGGAAATGTATTTAGCTAAAATACAGAAAACAGAGAGAATACAGAAAGGAATTATAATTATAGACGTAGAAAAGGGTTTATAAACAAATATGTATATTCAATAATTACAAAAATATCGATTTTATGATTCTCAGTCATCGTTTTCCTAATCGATTTCTGATATTCTAATACGGACTTTATATACTTTCTCTATTGACATTTCGTAAGAAATTGAAGAATTAACATTTCATATTGCTCCAAGAATATAATCTTAAAATGTTCGAAGAAATTTTCTTCCATAAATCAAAGAGACTCGTAACGTTTGAAGAATCTGCCGCGAAGTTCAGCTCGACATGTAGGGATAATTAAAGTATCGTAATAAGAGATTCATATACGAGCAAAAGAAGAGAGAAAGAGAGGAAATGACGAGACCGAGAATGCGGATTACGACGAGTGATGGATGGATCGATCGGCCTAGCCGAGCGGATTTTTACCACGTGATATCACCGAGAAGAGAGCCGCATAATAATATTCGCCTAGAGGGTTCGAGAGTGTCGGACCTTGCCAGTAGACACGTGCCGAAGATGACACGTGATTCCCATTGAGGTGATAGCGATTCTTCGTGAAATTTCGATGCGTTTAATTTATTGAACGCGAATTTACGTCTCCAGTATACGCATTTTTATTAGACACTTATCGCTAATTATATTATTATTTAATAAAGAGAGGAAGAGGGAGAAAGATTGTGAATTTTGTATTTTTTGATTTTTTTTAAATAGCATATGACATATATGAAAGATAAGAAATAGTGAATTTAGATATTTCTTAAAAGTTTGCAAAATAAGAGTTGCTGACTAAATCGAATGTCAAATCTGTGAGTCACATTTAGCGAAATGTGGGTTGAAAGTATCAGTCACAATTTTATTTACGTCAAGCGCGCGTTCCATCTCGATGAGGTTTAGATCTAAACAAAATAACGTTTAACGTCATCCTCGCAAACTCGTGGTGATTTTAAGCGCGAAGGAAAAATTCGCGGGATTATCAGCGTCAGCTGTTTGTCACCTGAAGAGATGCCTCTGTGTGAGTGCGAGTGAAAAAAAAACACGTAGTCGTAGGTTACAAAATTAAATTCGCGCGACATCGCGATCTATATCGGTATATATAAAGATATATTCGATTTTTATGACGCGTTGATGCCCGCTTCGTAGGCAGTTTGGAATGTTTTCTTTTTTTTGTCAATATCTAGAAGTAGCAAGAAATTTATGAATATGAATAAATTGTAGAATTATACGAGATATTCCAACAGGATATCTTTGATCATTTTTTTGTGGGAAAATACAAAAATGTATAACCATTTCGAGTTTTTCTATATAAAGACAAAGTTAATAATATGAGAAAAAATTTGATCGAATGCAATTAACCGATTCATCCGATTGAATCTATAAGGCACGTAAGAAATTACTGATTTAATCATTTATTCGATCAATGGGAACGGACCGATTAATCGATCAAGGCATAAACTATACTGAGTCTCAATCGATTAATCAAGAGAAATCGATAAACGGATAACAATTTAATCGATAAATCTCGTGCGACTGCTCTCGATCGCTTATGTCGAACAATGCCAACCACATAATGAAATATTTCGAAACTGTAATATTATTTGATATGAATAAGCATATTAAAATAGCTATAGTTTCAAGAAAATTAATTAGCTGACTAACAAAGAAACAAAGAAAATAGTATTATTTAGAGTATAATATTTTACTCACTAAAAATAGAATAATAAAATAAGCAATATTTTATTCAGAAATATATATCACAGTACACGAAGAGAATTTTCTTTTAGAATTTATCCTGAAGATCATGATAATCGTAAGAATTTTTCTGATATGTACATAATAAAATATTAATATTTTATATTGTGGTACATATTTGATCAGAGGGAGAGAGAACTCATAAAAATTTGTCTAATACTATATTATCCCACAATTACTATGATTTTTCAGAAGATAAATTCTAAGACAATTGTAAGAGAAAATTCTCTCTGTGTATAGGAAGAAGTCAAACTTCAGCGTTTGCAATTAGCAGTTAATCAGTCAACACTCCATCAATCTATCATAACAAATATTGCAATGCAAAAGATGCAAAGAATTAATTATTAAATCATCATAAATCATTATTCGAAAAATCATCTCGCAGAGTTTATTATTTCTTAACGAATATATCTTTCGGATATACATTTCATTCATCAAATAAACGTCGCGCGGTAAAAACACGCGATACGAGTTGACGAGATACCATGTGTAACTTCTGATATACACGCGGGATCACATGGATCGCCGCTGTACTTATCGCGAGCGATGTTTCTCAGTGATTTAAAATGCAGGCAAATGTCGAGAGGAAGAGAGTGAGAAAATTCGAAAGAGAAATGTCAGTTCGCGGATATAGAGCCAGGCTCAATCCCTGCAACCTACTCGCGCTCGACTTGCATACATATATACATATACGTATACTGATCGAGCCCTTCCTCGCCAGCACGCACCTGTTACGTTGTGTTGTCGTTTCGCCGCGCGGCGTGGCTGCACGCGACAGCTCGTGCCACTTACTTCCAGTTACCTCTCGGCAGTGCGTGCCGCAGCGTCGCCTTTCTGCTATTTCTCGCCCGACCCCGGCTCGCGAGATCCTCGAGAGATGGGGAGAGATTGATCGTTCGTGATATCCCGTTCGCGCGAGATCGGAGCACGCCGAGGGATCTTACAGGTAGAGTGTGTACAGAAACGTAATAGAATAGAATATATATATATCTCCTTCCTTCTATCTGCAAATTATCCCCGCTGCGATCTGGGAAGCGGAATAAATCAATGTCAATCCCGCGCACGCGAAGAAAAAAGGATGAAGTAGTGCGAGTCTTTGTAACTCGATCTGCCGCCACTCTTCTTTCATTTCGAAGTCGTAGAGCGACATTGCTTTCGAATCCGGGGTATCGATCTTATTAGGGGTTTCAGGAGTAGGTCTTCCTAGTCGAGGAAAAGAAAAGAATATTAGTGGAAAATTTGGAACTGTGTTTGTGCTTGAATCTTGCACGAGCGCATCAATAGTGTAATTTGGAATAAACGATGGAGATGATAAATCATGTAAATTATCATAATAAATTATGTGAAAACTAATACGTTATTTAAGGTGATCCTAAACGTCTTTGAGAAGACTGTTGTTTTTTCCTTTTTATCGACAAAATATATGAGTTCTAATTTTAGGTAAAAAACAATTCTTATGTAGCAAATAAATAGATTTATAATTTATCTAACCTCATATTTTGTCGATAAAAAAGGAAAATAACAACAGACTTCTCAAGGATGTTTAGAATCCTCTTAAGAAAAAAAAGTAAAATTGCCATCGTGATTTTTGTAAATTACGAAAAATATTAGTATATATAAAATAGATTTGATCGTAAAATATTCCTGATCAAAATACGAAAATTAAACACGTGTACAATAGGTCTATTTCTATTGCACTTTCTTCCGTCTTAAAATCAAATTAAAATCAAATAAATTCGGAAAATTATCTTAATATTCGTAACAATAAAAATACAATTTATTATAAGATACATTTTTTTTCGCGGAGAGATAAAAATTCTTTTATCGCGATCGAGGATTTAATGGCCAAAGAATAATATACTCTAAAAGACTAAAGGAGGAAAGGATCGAGAGGAAAGAGATCGCGGTCTTCCGAGGACGATCTCGCGAGAGCAGCTTCTTCCTCGGAGGCACTTTACTCCGGTAAAGCCGCGCGAGCGAGCATGCGAGGTCGAAGCCTTCCCTCTCTCGCTTGAGAGGAACCTGCTGTTCTATCTCCTTTTCTTTCGCCTCTCTCTTTTTCTCTTTCTCTCTCTTTTTCTCCGTGCGCGCCTTTCAACTTACACGCGGTTTCTCTCTCCGACTCGCATCGCACGCGCGCGTCTCTTCTCAAGTGCGCGCTTTTGTGCGGCAAAGAGAGGACTCGCGGCGACTTCGACCGACTGCCAGATTTTTTTTCAAAGCGAAAAGATAAATAAAAAAAAAATAAGTTAAATAATAAATCGACCCGAGGAAATAAATTTTTCACTTTTTACGGTGATATTTAAGGTACTAATTATCTCGCTATCTCGCGGATCGCATCTCTATTTATGTTCAAGAGATCGGACATGTTCACTGAAAACATTTTTTTAGGAAAATTGGAAGTAAATCATAAATTCCGCGCCGTGATATATCTTATTTTATTAATCGAAATAATCGCGATATTATTATCGATATTCGCTTTATCCGATTTTCTCCAACGTCACAAAATCGCGTATACGTCAGTGGTGAGTTCGTCGACGCAACCGGATGCACTTAAGGGCCAAGCAACCGCAACAAGTACGAGAAATTACGATCTTGATGTTCGTAAATCCTGACACTGACGTAAAAAGGAAGCGGATCGTTGTCTCCATATATTACACCGTTCGTTCACCGCACGTCTCTTCGCGGAATTGGCTCTCTTTTTTTGCGAAATTACGTACGCAAATCGTAATTATTGACAGCGATATTATGCTGAAGGATATTTTAATGTATATTTCAACACGATCGATTAATTTTAAAAATATATGCGAAGACTGTATAAAGAAAAAAAGCAGAATGACCAGATTAAATTAGTGTCTTTAAAACTTAATAAATACCTATATATTCTCATATTTCGAAAAAAATTAATATTTTCACCTAAGAATATAATTTTTGACATTTCGCTGTGAAACTTATTTATTTTAAAATTTAAGGTGACGTTTAAAATATTTGTACAATGATTCTATGATGATTACGTGATACATGATGCGGAGGAGGAAGAAGAGGGAAATTCTTCGGATATCGCGTCTCCGTATCTATCGTTGATATTTTTCGAACGGTCAAGGACCGTCACGTCAGCTCGCATATATATTGGACATTTGCATTTTAATCTAGACTTCTAATTAAGCAGTCCTATATCTTAAGGCGAAGCGAGCCTATGTCGTCAAGCTATTGTTGCGCGATGAAATTTCGTGCGGCTTATCGGAATATTTTATTTCGCGTCTACACACACAACACAACTTCCAATTCAACAGACCCTATTGTCATCGCTTTCAACGATTGTAATCAATAAAAAAAAATTATTGAAAAAATAATCGAGATGGACGAGATGAGTTTGCTAATTTATTAATCCATTATTCCATTTAGATTTTTACACGACTCATATCGTCCTCGGCTATAATATCCTTTTTTCTCGACCGTAATTTTTCGAGAAAATCTAATTTAAGCTCACATACACATACAATTTTTTTAGGATATATTATCTCTCATATTCTGTTATTATTGTACTAATGTTCGAACTACGTTAAATATTTCAGGTATTCAATGACGTCAATTATTATCGTCGCGTATCACATCGATGACACGACGGCCCGTTAGTTCCACTTTTCGGTTTCATAAACGAATTCTTATATAGAGTCGAACTTTCACGGCTCGATTGAATCTGTGTGTATAATGAGCGCTTCATCTTCGTCGTTGTGTCGTCCATATAGTCTCTCGTTTTACCCACGTTGAATGGGCACTGGATAATAATCGGATGCCGCTTCGAAAATTAAGTCCCGCCTTCTTGCGACGGAGCAAATTACGAGATTGAATTTTGCAAGAATTAATGACTTCTAAAAGTAAATTGAACCTGCCGGCAACATCAACGTGCCGTGTCGTGGCAAGTTTAGATGAGCTCCATCTCCGTGCGCGGCGATAAATTTCAATATTTTAACATCTACAGCGTGCATGCAAACATTGTCACGTCGTGTAATTTTTAATTGAAAAATTCTCTCAACTATATAACGCGAAAGATTTTCCAAATCGGGTAAATTGACAATTAAAGGGGTGAATGCGAGTTGTGCGCAAGAGGCATCGTATATTTTTCTAAAAAAAAGTCGAATAATCTTGGCTTAAAAAAAGTACGAGATAAAAAATTAATAAATAAAGATTAAAGCTGTATTACAATTAATAAAAAGCAGAAATAAACATTACCCCGTGATTATCTTTTACGAGTATTTCGGCGAGCGCGAGATATCTGTTTTCGTAATTGCCGTCGTGAATGAATTTAATTTAAATAAATGACCAAAGGTGCAACTTAAAGATGCAATCGTCGAAGTTGTAATTCGAGATGAGAGAATGGGAAGGGAGGCGCGGATATATTTACTTTCATTGCCTCGATAAAATCGCCTCAATCAAAATCCATTAAAGTAATCGTCTTAATATTCATTTGCTTTCCCTCGATCGTTTTATTATATATCCAGACGGCGGAGTAAGAGAAAGAGAGAGGAAAAAAAAGAAAAAAAATTAAGAGGAAGGCAACGCACGGACCTCTAAGGTCGAATTCTTATTCGTGCACCGAACTCACACCGACCGCCAGATGCATTCTTATACGACGGCGAAACGATCGAAAGTATTATCCTTCGCTTTAAATCAGAGATAAGCGAGACTCGTCTCGTCCATTAAGGACGAAGGATGCACAAGATATTGTGTGGCCGAATGTAGAAGACCGCGATAACGGATTGCGCGCATAATGCATGTTCGGCAGCAGCCTAAGTACATGATTCTCTAAGTCATCTTATGAGAGGAGACAGAGACCACGTGCTCGCCGAGCTCTTTTAAACCGAGCAAGATTATTCTGTATAAATTTAGAACATGAAAAAAAATATATAAAATAAAACTTTGTCTTCAATTTTATTATGACAGATTTTATGATTTATTTGCAGTCCATTATTTTCGAAGTATAATTAACAACAAAATTTAATCATTTGTGTGCATAAATATATAGAGAAGCTTTATTTCTTTTTTAATTTTCTCAAAATTCGCCCGCTTGCCTATCAATAAATACTGATCATTCTGGCTTTTTTCGACAAATTATCAATTCCAAAATATTTTAGTAGGTTAAATTGCATCAATCGCTCGGGGTGACAGTCATTAAAAGCGAAAGTTTAATTAAAAAGTGCCAAAGAAGTTTACGATACGTAGTATGAATAGAATAAGTCATTTTCGCATGAATATAAATTGAAATTGTACATGAGTATGTGTGATTCACCGAAGGATTAGAGAGACTAAATTTCGCAAACTCCGCCATTCCTACATAAATATATATTCCACGTTCGCCGTTCGCATTTCTAACATTTTTCCGCCATTCGTAATACGTACTTTACGACGAGTTTTATTTCTACCATTCAATGCCTCCTCGGCAACGTCGTATTCGCCCCCGGATCACGTCTCAGGAATCCTTATACAAATGAGATATATTATATAGCCAGCGGGAAAAGTGTGTTTCTCACTTGCATATATAAATGCGAACAGCATTTTAAGCATCTTAATATCAAAGTTAATCATCAAGATATTTGATATAAAAAATCTTAAAGTTGTGTTTAAAGATGACATTCGATTTCATCTGCATCAAGAGAGAACTGTTTCCGTACTTATCAGATATCTCATTAAAATATCAAAAATTAATTAAGATAAATAAATCGATCTTTCAACAATAAAAATCAAATTAATTAATAATTAATTACACGAAATTAAAAATATTTGTCGACCAACACTTGCAAATTATTATTTATTTGATTAAACGTACAACGTTTCGACCATGAGTTTTAAAGAGAAATAGCTGAAATGTTTTGTATTAAAAAATTTAACAACACAATTACTCTACATAAGGATACAAAAGAAAATTGGAATAATATTTATGATAAG